GGGGACCGCACATTAGGGGCGCTCTATTCGACTGTTCCTGTTCTCAATTTCTCTAGTAAATTTAGAAACGGCAGTCGAAGAAAGCCTTTTTTGTGTACCGCAGTATGAAAAGATTATTTTAAAGTGGCTAAAAATCAATATTTATGCGTTTTCAAGAGGCAAAGAAATATTAATGTGCTTGGATAGAGTACTCATCTGAAATTACGCTTGGTCCTGATTTTGAATCCGAATTTTCTGACCACTAAGAGCAGGTGGACACGAAGGGAAGTCGCAGTAAAAAATAAAAGCAAATATGAAGCTAGGAGAACACAGTCAGCCCAGTGCTGCATACCGGCGTAGGGCTGTGACGCGAAAGTCATTACTTCGAACATTAAAACGCCGAATGACCAAACATCAGCCTTGTGGGATGGCTTGTAGTTAGATTTCATGGCCTCGGGGGCAGTCCAACGAACTGGAAACGTTGAAGTTGCTGTCAAAAGGCAAAAAGGAAAATTGAGGGTAAGACAGTACTTTATTGCTAAAGTAAGCTTATCTCATTTAAGGGGACTGAGACACGCGGCTGAAAAATGTTGGCCTATAAAGAGACACGGGTCAAAGTCCTGTGGTCACTTTAAGTTTTATTAGTGTTGCCTTATTTTCAGTGTACTTTAGTTTGTTGTTTAGTATTTAGTTAAGTAGTTTAATTTAAGTTTAATTAACTACCGCCAGCGTTAGGTTACTACATATCAATAAATACTATATAGTAAACTAAAGTAACTAAAATTAGCTAAACTAAACAAAACTAAATAGAAAAAAAAACTACACTAGGCTAATAATAGCTGTCCCGTAGGAAAGAATTTTGGGACGAGGGATGTCCACGGTGAGCATCCAACTTAACTGGGCATTGATGAATGGCGAATCATCGGGTTTGTAGAGCATTTGTGTCCAAACGTCTAGGCAGACTTTCTCTGCTGCATTTTTGCAGTCGAAAATGGCAGCTGACTACTCTTTGCGACGAAATGCATCGCAGAATCTGCCGCGCGCTTGCCAGCCTTCTCTTCATATCATGAACTCAAGGTTTACCAAGTAGATATAACATCGGCATGAAGACGGGCCCACAATAAATTCACCTCCTCGCACTAGTCGCACACGCTGTTGAACGTAAGGCAGGAGTAATACCGATTCTGGGAGGTCCAAATAGCGATAACGCTTCAACTACAATAACAACACTTGGCGTTAAAAGAAAATACGCCAAGGGGAAAACTGCCTTCTAAAGCCGCCTAAATAGCTATCCCCCCGCCCAACTCTCTTACGAAATTGGTAGTTAAATATTTACTTCCTGGTCAGCGAACGTAAATATATATTTAATTGTGTTGAAAGTGATCAAACATATTAAGTTTAAGCCACTTATAATTGATTTAATGAGCTAAATATAATCAACTCCATCAACATTACCTCTTGTTGATCAGGCAACTGATGCCTATTCCCTGAAAGTCGACCTTATATTGGCGGAATTTAACGAAAAAGGGCAAAGTCTGGCTACTTGAAATGCAAAAGTGGAGCTTTTTATTATAAGTCCAAGGCAAATAGGACTATCAAAGACAGGCCTACCGCCAAAGAAAGGCAGATATCCTCTAGACGCTTGCAACTGCCTGTTTTCCGAATTTGACTAAGATTCCAGAGCACTGAAAACAACAGGTGATGAGCAATAATAAACTCTTCATCCAAAAAGCATTAAGTAGCAATGAGATGTTTAATTTTCCAGACCTGACGGCCACGAACT